TTTAGATAATTACCCAAGATTTATTAGACTATTTACAGAATTTGCCATTAGTCTCATACATCCATATATCCCATTAATAATTAAAAACATACACTTTTTGTTTATCTTATATTACTATATTTTTATATTTATATTTTTATTTATATACATTTATATAAATTTTCTTTAGCGGATGGGTAAACAATCTTTTAATTTATATTTATATTTATGTTTATATTTAAATGATAAAATATATACATTTGGTTCAAAAATCTCGAATTCAAAACTACAAAATCTTTACATCTTTCATAAATTTTTTACTTAAATAAATAAGATAATCTCCTTTCTATATATGTTACGAATACTTAAAATCCTATTTTTTGGAGGAGTTCTAACTTTTCGAAGAAAAACATTATAACCACATTTGTATATAAACCAAAATCTGGCCAAATTATAACCATTTCGTAAATAATCCATTCATAATCTAAGAATCTTAGATTTGGAACAATACAAAATCTTAGCTTGGAAACTATCAAATCTCATCTTTGCTAAATTTTGGATTTCTTATACTTATTAAAAAAAAAAAAATTCCTTTTTATACTACAAAATCTCGAAATCTTTAAAACATACGGAAAGATATATTGCCATAAATGGTAACATTTCGTCAATACTTTTTTATCACGTTGAAGATTTATTCAAAATTCAAATATTTCACGGGTAAAACATATTCTTATATGAAATAGTCCCAAATCTGAATAAAACAAAAAAATATTGTAATATGTTTCGTTTTACACAAACGGATCTTAGATCCCGGATAATAATTTTAATCATAATAATTTTACTACAATCACTTCATCCCGCACATCGTGCGGGTTGTTATCTAGTTAGAAGTAGAATAGTGTAAGCCAAAGTTTATGGTACCTTTGATATAGCGAAGAATCCTCTTGGCCGCCTTGTAATGAGTTGTTGTTGGATGCTCCATGTAACGACTAACAACTCCGACCGCATATAAAATATCGGGCCTTGTGCATGTTAAGTATCTCAAGCTTCCAACCAAGCTCTTAAAGGTTGTTGGATCCACTCCTTCCCCTTCTTCATTCTTTGATAATTTGATTCCGCATTCCATTGGTGTGGTCACCGGGTTCGAGTCATCCATCTTAAACTTTTTAAGTACCTCCTTAGCATAGCCTTCTTGAGTAATGAAGATTCCATTGTCTTCTTGTTTTACTTCAATTCCGAGGTAGTAAGACATCAATCCAATATCCGTCATCTCGAACTCCTTCGTCATCTCTTTCTTGAATTCTTCGAACATGCTTGGATTGTTACCCGTGAATATCAAGTCATCTACATATAAGCATGCAATCAATATATCGTCTTTTTGAATTTTGATATAGAGTGCATGCTCATATGGGCACTTGATGAAGTCTTTCTCCTTGAAGTACTTGTCAATTCGAGTATTCCAAGCTCTTGGGGCTTGTTTTAATCCGTAAAGCGCCTTCTTTAGCCTCAAGACTTTGTTTTCTTCTCCTTTGACTATGTAGCCTTGTGGTTGCTCAATGTAAACTTCTTCTTCAAGGTCACCATTTAAGAAGGCCGACTTGACATCCATTTGATGTATCTTCCACTTGTTTTGAGCCGCTAGTGAAATGATTAGTCTAACCGTTTCTAGACGAGCAATGGGAGCAAATACCTCGTCATAGTCGATTCCGGCTCTTTGACTATAACCCTTTGCCACCAATCTTGCTTTGTATCTTTCCACTTCCCCTTTAGAATTTTTCTTTGCTTTATACACCCACTTCACACCTATCGCCTTGTGTCCATTTGGAAGTGAAGCTAGCTCCCATGTATCATTCTTTTTTATCGCCTTTATCTCTTCATCCATGGCATTTCTCCAAGTCTTCTTTTCAATGGCTTCTTTGAAGTCCATGGGTTCGCACTCCGCAAATAGACAAAATAAAGTAAGATTGTCTTGATTTTTGGTTACCTCGTAGAGCTCTTGTAGACTTCTAAAATGAGGAGTCCTCTCGCTTGAGCTTTCTTCTCCTTGAGAGCTTGTTGGTGAAGTTGGTGGTGTTGTAGGTTCTTCTCTTGGTGGCTCTTCTCTTGTTAGCTCCGAGTCATCTTCTTCAAAGTGTGGAAAGAAGTTATAGTCTTCTTCATTTGATTTCCAATCCCATTCTCCTTCTTCATCGAAAACGACATTTCGACTAATTATTGTCTTCTTCGTATCGGGATTATAGAGCTTGTAGCCTTTGGAGTTGTTATCATAACCAATGAAGATGTACTTCTCACTTTTGTCATCTAGTTTACTCCGCTTCTCATCCGGTACATGAGCATGAGCAATGCTTCCAAAGACTCTTAAATGAGAAACACCGGGCTTCCTTCCGCTCCATGCTTCTTGTGGTGTTTTTCCCGAGACACTTTTTGTTGGAGATCGGTTTAATAGATAAACCGCACACGCGACCGCTTCCGCCCACAACTCTTTTGGTAGTCTTTTACTTTTAAGCATGCTCCTCGCCATCTCAAGAATTGTTCTATTCTTTCTTTCCGCTACACCATTTTGTTGAGGGGATCTTGGCACCGTTAATTGTCTTCGAATGCCGTTATCTTCACAATACTTTAAAAACTCCTTAGATGTAAACTCTCCTCCACGGTCGGATCTCATGGCTTTGATTGCAAGACCACTTTCCTTCTCAACATGGGCTTTAAACTTTTTGAAGTTCTCAAACACCTCGGATTTTTCTTTCAAAAAGTAAACCCATGTTTTTCTTGAAAAATCATCAATAAAGAGAAGGAAGTAGTTACTTTTACCAAGTGATTTTGGCTTGATCGGACCACACACATCCGTGTGTATTAGCTCCAACGGTTTTTGAGCTCTTGTACTTGACTCCTTTGGAAAGCTCATTTTGAATTGCTTTCCAAGTAGACATCCTTCACACACTTGATTTGGATGATTGATACAAGGTAGTCCTCTCACCATTTCTTTCTTCGAAAGCAACTCCAATCCTCCAAAATTTAGATGCCCAAATCGAAGATGCCAAAGCCAAGACTCCTCCTTGTAGCACATCTTGAGACATTGTGCGATGTCATTTCGAATGTTAAGGACAAACATTCTATTTTTCGACATTGGCACCTTGGTAATGAGATTGCTTTCTTGGTCTCTTATAGAAAGGTTATTATCTTTTAGTCGAATATCATAACCTTTATCTAAGAGTTGTCCAAGACTCAAGATGTTTGTCTTCATGCTCGGAATATAGTAAACATTGGAAATAAATTGATGATCTCCATTCTTCAATCGGATGAGAATTTTTCCTTTGCCTTTTACCTCCATCTTCGATTCATCTCCTAAAGCCACATTTCCTCTCACCGATTCATCAAGCTCCGCGAACATACTTTTTCTCCCGCACATGTGATTACTTGCACCACTATCGAGGTACCACTTATGATTCTCTTCTTGTTCACCTTTCTTGTAACTAGCCATTAATAACATGTCTTCTTCTTGGACTTTTTCTTCAACGTAGTTGGCCTTCTCCTCGACTTTTTGGTTGCTAGGAGCTTTACATTCGGAAGCATAATGTCCAAACTTCCCACAATTGTAGCATTTGACACTTGACTTATCATATCTTGATTTTGGGCTTCCTCTCCCACGACCTCTTGATGAGTTTTCTCCTCTTTGGTTTGTGTTGTCTTCATATGGTCTCCAACCTCGTCCATTTCCATATCCACGACCTCGTCCTCGTACTTGACTGCCACCTCGTCTTTTGTAATTTTGGCCATTTTCTTCTTTAGTAATTCGCATCTTGAGGACTTGTTCGATGATATCTTCTTTCTTCTTCTTCTTTTCTTCATAAGCTTGTAATGACCCAAGAAGTTGCTCTATTGTCATAGCTTCTAAATCTTTTGTTTCTTCAATGACGGTGACAATATGCTCAAATTTTGGATCCAACGATCTAAGAACTTTCTCCATGATTCTCACGTCATCTAGCTTCTCTCCGTTTCTTTTAAGGTTATTAGTAACCATCAATACTCTTGAGAAGTAATCGGAGACGAGTTCACCTTCCTTCATTTGCAATGCTTCAAATTCTCCTTTTAGAGTTTGAAGACGTACCTTCTTGACTTGATCGACACCTTTGTAAGAGGTTCGAAGCTTCTCCCATGCTTCTTTGGCCGACGTAGCTTCAACGACCTTCTCGAACATATCTTCATCTAATCCTTGATAGATTAGACAGAGAGCTTTCTTGTCTCTCTTTCTTGAGTCTCTCAAACCATCCTTTTGAGTTTGAGAAAGACTACCTTCATTCTCCGGTTCGATAAAACCTTTCTCGACTATCTCCCACACGTCATGTGCTCCTAGGATAGCCCTCATTCGTAGACTCCAATTGTCGTAGTTGCTCTTTGTGAGCATTGGAACTTGGAAGGGAACGTTGTTACTTGCCATCTTTAGGATCTTCAAGCTCTGCTACCACTTTGTTAGAGTAAAATTCTTTTAGAGGTAATGGAGAAAGTGTTTAAGTATTTGAGAGAGTTTTAGGAAATAGAACTTTTATTACTTTGATTTTAACTTGAAGACAACTTCATAACCTTACAACAAATGAGAGAGGGAGGAGGTATTTATAGCCTCCAAACTACAAAATATCTAAAATATTTTAATCCTAAATCTAGAGAGTTCTTAACATAATATCTAGATTACAATATTCTAATTATCTAGATTATTCTATAAGAATATCTAGATTTTTATGTTTAAAGAGGTGGAAGATGATTCTAGAAAATATCTAGAACATTTTAAGGAGGTGGTAATTATGATATTTCTAGAGAAAACTCTAGAACTTGGAGTTGGCCCATCAAATAATTATTGGATAATTGATCCAATAATTAAACTTGATTCAAAATCAAGTTTAACTTTCAACACTTCCCACGGCTGAATAAAACCGTAAAATACAAAGCATGCGTTCAAACTAAAATATGCTTTCAAACTATAGCTCTTACAAAGATATTTTTCTGTCCCGATGATGAAAGCATTTAGAAACTAATACCTCTGCATAATCAAACATAGCGACTCATCAACACCAATATATCTACCATATAAAGAAGCAAATTTCTATGTTTCTTACATTTTCGGCTTCTTCAATTCATTTCCTTGCTGAACTCTAGCAGCCTTACAGATAGCAGAGTTACGCTGCTTAGCAGCAATACGGCTGCATAAAACAAAGAGACTCATTAACACCAATGTCTTCAAATCAAATTTGTATGTCTTTTTATAGACTTAATTACGTTTTTCGCTTCTTGGATTTATTTCCTCGCTGTAGTCCAGCAGACTCACAGAAAACACAAGGCTTCTTACAACCAGTAAACCTGCATAATCAACCACAGAGACTAATCAACACCAATTCTACAATATTTACAAATTTAAGAAAAAGAAAAAAGAAGTTGAAGAAAGCCTTACGGTTTTGGAATCTTCCATTTGCTTGGTGGCGGTGGTTTATAACAGTGAAACATCGCCCACGAAGAACTCCAGCATAATCAAACACAGACAGAGAGACTCATCAACAACAATGTCTACAATATATAAACAAAACAAAAAGCAGTTGATGAAGCAAATTTATATGCCTTACTATCCAGGCCTCTTCCATTCCCTTTTACGGGAAAGCTCGGCGAACAAGTCAAAACACAACCCATAAATCTGACGCCTGTAGAGCTTGCGCCCAGCTCTCATCATAACCCTTGTTCTCTTACTGTAACATATCATCATCACCAGATACAACATTTAGATTTAGAAAATAAAAATAAATTAATCAATTATAAAAAAATTAGAAGCAATTCATATAAGTATACAAGAAGATAAAACCTTATCATCTACCACAGGTGTTCTCTAAATCACTAGATTAGCTATTATCCCTAGAATTAAGGCACAATTTACGTATAATCTATTGTGGATCCGTATAGGAAATAAAAACGATTAAACGTTGAAAGAAGGAACGGAGACAGAAGACGAAAGAACAATGAGAGGAGAAACGTACTTCATGTTTGTTGACGGAGGAGAAGTTTATAAAGAAAATAGGTATTTGCAGCAAAGCAGATATGAAGCGGCTCCAAAACCCTAAACCTACTAGATGATGATGCACGAGATTAACTGTTTATTTAATTAATTGTTATTTATTTTGATATAATTATATTTGAATATTTATAATTTACGACATAATGTATATTCTTTATAGCCATCAAAACTTTTATTTTGCTACGGAAATTTAAAAAAGACATATGTATAATCTAATATGATGTTGCTGTCAAAAAAAAAAAATCTAATATGATGTCGAAAATAAAATAGAACAACAATGTTAGTTATATGGCATACTTTCTAAAATAAATTTAGAATCAAATTTTTACGATGATATTTTCTTTAATATTAACCTATATAGCAATATAAAAATATATACATGAATCTAGTGGAAGAGGATTTTTGAACAATTCTTGGGTTCACCCCTAGGGATGAACCTAATTCATTCACCCCCTCTTTAATAACCAATCAGAATTTGCCATGTCATCTGATTAAAAAAATTAAAACAATTAATATTATCAAAATAAAATAATATTAAAAATCCACTCTTCTGTAAATCCAAACCGATATATAATCTCGTTTAATTACAAAATCTAAACCCTAATTCTCTTTTGTAAACCCAAACCGCCATTTAAACTCATTTAATCGTAAAAAAACTAAACCCTAATCGTACTTTCTAAACCCAAACCGATATTTAACCTCGTTTAATCATAAAATCTAAACCCTAATCGTACTTTTTGAACCCAAACTGATATCTAACCTTGTTTAATTGTAAAATCTAAATCCGTTTATAAACCCAAACCGATATTTAACCTCATTTAATCATAAAATCTAAACCCTGACGTTTTCTAATAAACCCAAACTGATACACAATTTCGTTTTAGTGGCAAATTAGAAACCCAAAATTACACGAAATTATGTATCGGTTTGGGTTTATTAGAAAAGGTCAGGGTTTAGATTTTATGATTAAACGAGGTTAAATATCGGTTTGGGTTTATAAACGGATTTAGATTTTACAATTAAACAAGGTTAAATGTCGGTTTGGGTTTAGAAAATACGATTAGGGTTTAGTTTTTTTTACGATTAAATGAGTTTAAATAGCGGTTTGGGTTTACAAAGGAGAGGGTTTAGATTTTGTAATTAAACGAGATTATATATCGGTTTGGATTTAAAGAAGAGTGGGTTTTTAATATTTTGATAATATTAATTATTTTAATTTTTTTAATCAGATGACATGGTAAATTCCGATTGGTTATTAAAGAGGGGGTGAATGAATTAGGTTCACCCCTAGGGGTGAACCCAAGAATTGTTCTTTTTTCTATAAATGATTTCACTTACAAGCGTATAAGAATCACTTTAATGGTAATACTAATATAAAATTTGCAAAATTAATTCGTCATTTTTGACATTTGATTGTATCTTTCTTGATGGTAACTAGCATTGGACTGTCAAAAACAAAACAAAAAGTTCCTCAATTGATGGTATCTTCTTAAAACAAATTTCTGCATTTTTATTGCTTTCTGAAAAATTTCAATTTTCATAATGGTTGGTTTCACATCTCAGAAAAAAATATATAAAACTATTCGTGTCATATACTTATCATTTGTAATGAGAGAGGCTTTGTAGGCATAATCTACTTCTTTGAACATGAACATATGATTCAGTACCTGAATATTTCAATTCGTAAATGTGAGAATCAAAAGATTGTCTAATGAGAAACCATTACTTTCACATGGTGAGAACTTGATGTTTAGATACTCATAAGGTACTAACCATGGGAGATGTTCTTAGAACCAAAAAGGTTTATTTTGTAGAGTGAAAGTAAAATAAATAAATACTATATCAATCATCTAACAAATATGGCCTATTAGCTCAGTTGGTTAGAGCGTCGTGCTAATAACGCGAAGGTCACAGGTTCGATCCCTGTATAGGCCACTTTTTAATTTTTGATATATCAACAAAAGCCATTAGCAGCTAAACATTTGATTTTTTAGGTGTAATCTGACTCAATTTGTATTTTTGATATATCAACAAAAGCCATTAGCAGCTAAACATTTGATTTTTTAGGTGTAATCTGACTCAATTTGTATTATATCATATGGTCATTAACCATAATTATTTTCTTTAAACAAGATATAATCAAATCAATCATGCCTAACATTTTACATGATTAGTATTACACATAGAAAATCTGGCCGACATTTAAAAGGCTCTCCTGAGGAACATTGAAAATGGCACTGTTTTCTCTACAAATCTTCCTAAGAAACGCATAAACATAATCAATGGCTATCCTCTTGTAGAATCTTGCTTCTCTCCTGGCTCGAACCACTGTGTTCCCCATTATGTGCACCACTCCTGCGTCTCTGCACCCGTTTATGAACTCCACCTCGTCCCCTCCGCTCATCTGGCTCGACCCCGTCACTGTGTGGCTTGTCCGTTTTGTTACAGTGGGAGCTATAACCGACTCTATAGAATCAAATGTATCAAACGTCGACAGGTTCCTATTCTCGTTCCCATTCCCGGTGACCCCATCTCTGGACTGTCGTTGTTGGCTTCCGCAGACGCTGTAATCGTCGGAATCCGAGCAGCCTTCCATCATTGATTCGAGACGGAGGAAAAGGAAGAGGCTTTCAAAGAGCCGTTTCTCAAAGTCGTCGTCTTTCTTGTGCAAGTCTCTGTATCCATACCTCGCGACGCAGCGGAACATGTGGAAGTTTTTGGGTCCGATCCTTTTTACAAGGAACCGTTCTTCCTGGGGGACGGTGTAGACGGGAAGGTTCTTGACGCAGACAAAGATCACGACGGAGTGAGTTGCCGGCAGGTTTGTGATGAAATGAGAGAATATGTGAGGGACTCCGCTAGCTAGCTCGGTGTAAACAAGGCCAATCCCAGGAACACGGACAAGACCAAGGCTAGGACCGAGCCCGAGAATCCAAGCCATGGAGACTTTACTATGCATTTCAAACTCATACCTCTTGAGGGTTCCATAGTGCCAGACGTACATGATGACGAGAAACGCCGCCGCGATAACCAGCGGTACCCATCCACCTTGGTTTACCTTGAAGAGCACCGCCGAGAAGTAAGTGCATTCCACAACAAGGGATAGAACAGTAAATAAGAGGACTAGAACCCAATGGCATCGCCAAACAAGTATCATGATCAGCATCATGAGAAGGGTTGTCACGAGCATGACAATCACAACTGCGGTCCCATAAGCATTTCCTATCTGGTTCTGGTTCTTGAATCCGGCAGTGACAGCTATGCAAAGGATCATGAGGATCCAATTGATGTCCGGAATGTATATCTGACCCAGGAATTTCCGGGAAGTATGCACGACTTTAACTCTCGGGAAACATCCGTGAGCAAGAGCTTGCTTGATCAACGAGAAAGTCGCCGATATTGTGGCTTGGCTTGCAACTATTGCAGCAGCAGTTGCAATTATGAACATTGGCCAATATACTCTTTCTGCAACAACAAAAACAAAAACAGAAACTTTCATCTAAATTTGTCCATATAAATCCATTGATAGAATGAAAATTGATAAAAGATATGACAAACTTGGAATGGATTGATAAAACGCGTCTTCCACATGGTGCGGGTACTTTCTAAGGTATGCAGCTTGTCCGCTATACGCCAAAAGGAGGCAAGGAAAGACAATTACAGTAAAAGCGAATTGCACAGCTGAGACTGGAAAATGAGATAGATCCGCAAAGAGAGCTTCAATCCCTGAAATATGATAGACATAACAAGAAAAATGAACAACAAATAGGGTAATAAGATGAAGAAGATGATATATATTTGATCAGTTTCTTTACCTGTGATACTAAGCATAATGCCTCCAAGCGAGGTCCAGCGATCTTGGCCTCCTCTTTTAAAATATCGATATATATAAACCGGGGAAAAAGCTTTCAAAACGCTTGGGTCATGTTTCCATATATTGAACATACCGATACTTGCAATAAAGAGAAACCAGAGAAATACAATGGGCGCGAAAAGCCACCCGACTCTGTCTGTTCCATAATGTTGTACACTAAACAAGCTCACTAATATCACAACCGCAACAACAACAACAATACCTGTAATAACAATCACATCCTAAATTGATCAATAATCAACAGTCACATAAATGGGCACCGTATATAAAAGAAGTGATTTAACGTAGTACTTAATACCGTTGTTTATGTGAGGAAGGTTTACCCTGAGCCCACCCGCAGCGGATAGAACTGCGACAGATTAAACACGATGAAACACTTTCCCGGTAGAAAAAACAAATTTTATATATTTGGAAGGTCAATGAATAATACATTACCAGATATGGCAGGAGTAAGGATTCCATCGCCAATCACCATGCACGTACCAACAAGAACGAGAATAAGTAGCGCATTTTTCCTAGAGATACCTTTCTCCAACCATCTCTTGGTTTTTGCAGCAAAAGAATGCTCATGAAATGTAGTACGACTATAAGTAGTAAGCTCTTCATCAGTACGGTGTTGGTTCGGAATTGTGCTAACTTTTGCATGTCTACAGAGCAAAGAATAGAGAGCAAATGTTCCACCTATTCGCCAAACAAGAGACAATCCAATAAAACAATACGCATAGCAAAAGCCCTGAATCAGAATATAAGAAGCCGTAAAATGTAATACTACCTTGACCATTATCATTTGCTTTGCATACAACGAAAACATACTTGAGAAGAGGGATGAGTGTAAGGGAATATATGATTAGCGATAAAGCTCCAATGATATCTTCAGGGTCTTTGATCCCTCGAGGAAATGTATTATAGAAAACATATAGAGGAGAAGTTCCCAAATCTCCATAAACAACACCAAGACTCTGAAACGAAAGCTGCAGAAGCAAAAACGCCGAGAATTTCTGCAAAAAACCGAAACTACATTATATCCTCAAACTACAAAATCTTCCATTTAAGTCTCTATACCAATGAAGCATCAAAACAACTAAACCGATACAATTCAACACTCAATGTTTAGCATCAGAGAGCAACTAAAACAACCAAGATTTATCAAGAATTATGAATTAAACCTTTTCTCTATACATGTTCCTGAGCCGACCAGCTTCTTCATCCATAGGTTGATCAAGTGACTGATCCAAATCCCACATACTACCTCTCTCATCACCTTCTTCACCAATCTCACCACCACCAATGGATGATTCTACTCTTGCCGCCATTTCTACTTTCTCAATAAAAAAAATCTAATCTTTGATTCTAAAACACAAAACCCTTTTTTGCTATTAAACCCAGAACCCTAAATCTCCTCTATATCCTCAAACCCAGATTTTCACTACCCACCACGATTCGAAATTCTCAATTAACAGAGAATCTAGAAACCGCTAAAGGAGAAATAAACATTGAAAATTCAAAAGATACATAAGATTTACACAAAAAGGCAAACATCTACTTATGTACTGCATCCCAATTTGAGCAACAACAACAACAAAAAATCGATCCTTTATACAAAAAAAAATAATCAAAACGATTAAAGGTTTAAACTTTTTTCTGAATTCGCAAAATCAAAATTCGGCAAAAACAGAGAACCCCAAAAACCCTACGGAGAAAGTGAAAGAATTTGAAATTCTTGTATAAAGAAGAAAATGTTTTCCACGTTATGAAGCATTTACTTTGGTGGGCTCGGTTCAATTCACAACCAATGAAATCAAATTACACAAAACCCAGGAAAATTCTGCGAAGACGATCGAGAAAAAACGCAGAATTGGGTTTTTGAATTTCTTTGTTCTCTTTTGTAAAAGAATAATCTTTTTTTTTCAGCTGGTGATTGATAGAAACGATGAACGAACTGATTTTTTTTTTATTACAGAGTAGTTTTTTTTGTTGCGGTGAAAGACAGAAAGAGAGGGAGGAACTGGGGAGGGGATATATGATTACGACAACGACGAGGATGGAGGGATTGAATTAAAATAATTAGGTGTTTTTAAAAAATAATAATTAAATTTTATGTCCTTGTATTGAAATTGTATTATACCATAACTGTCTCTGTCTTTTGGGGACATTACCTAATTTATTTATGTATATTTAAATTTCTTTACAAAGCTGTCAAAAATATAAGTAAAAAGTTTCTTTACAAGTTTATATTCCTATATATATTAATAAGTGAGTGAATGAAATTAAGGAAAAAAAGGAATAGTGACTGTATTTTTAAGTTATTAAAAAGATTACAGAAATACTATAAATACAAAAAAAAATACATTATTGCAATTCATCTCAATTCTCAAATGTTTAAGAACTATGACTAATATGTTAAAAATGAAAATAAAAAGAAAAAGAACTATTACTATTATTTATACAGTTTAATTAAATTACTGTACAATTTAGTTACAGTGGTCTGTAAGTGTTGTATATGTGGCATGTGTGGGATTATTTGTTTTCATCTACTTGTTCTTAGGGTATATTAGCCGGACAATAAAGATAAAAATTTGTTAGAGAAATTAGAAAATTCTAGATTTATTCGAGTATAACTCTAAATACTATAAAATTTATTTATGTAATATACAATTTAAACTGAATGAACATTTTAGATAATTTAAATTGATACGAAATGCGAATTAATTAGTTTTACAATTAAAACCCCAATTTTCGCTTAAAATTTTCCAGCTCCGTTGTGAAAGTTTTGCTTTAAAAAAGCCTAATTAAACACGTTGACGAGATCAAAGGACGCTGATCTTTTTAGGCTTATAGCGTGTGGTCTCGTACTTTACCGTTTTTGGTAACCAAAATAAAAAGGAAATTAGAGTTCACCAAAATTTAATTTATTTATTCCTTAATTATATTATGAAAAATTAATTATATGACTTCACACGTCAAATATTAGACTTTGACTCAAGAAAAAGATGTTCAGAAATAGATAAATCGCAAACAAGATAATCGCAAACTTCAAATAAACATTATTTATAGTGTTTTAAAAAGACACGTTATCTGATAAATCATATCATCCAATGACATCCTTTAAATCGAGGATGTGCAGACTGCAGTTAACTTATTGTTGTAACCATGTACGAATTTTCGTTATGTCTATTAGTCTATAAAAGTACGTAATGTTTATAGCTTCTTCTTAAGTATTTGAGATTCAGCTATATAATAAATAAGAGATAATTAGCTCAGAGGTAAGGACTGAGTTTAAATTAGTTTTTGATAAAATTTTGTTGGAACCTAAAACAATTGCAATATTAGCCCATCATCTTTCTGTTTTTAGCATCACTCACTAAGAAAAACGCAACAGTTTTTTTTTTTTTCCGAGACGAATATGCGTGTATATGTATATTTGATTATTTGCCAAGCATTTGTTGTTTTATTGTAGATATACACAGATCTACTTAGATCCACATCTCTAATTTATAGATCTGTATTTTGATATGCATCTTTTTTTGTAGACATCTATTTATTTTCTCTTATTTCCACTTGATGTTGATACATAACTAACTGTTCAATTTTTTTACTGTTTAGAAAGATGGCTGATCTAGAGCTGCTTTCCCGATTGTTCGCCGATAGAGAGGACCTGCTGGCGATAGGGTGAATATGTACTTTAACCTCAATACGATCAAGGTTGTGTTGAAAGCTCTTACACCTGAAGAGATTGAAACCATTAGGCCTTGCTTCGGGAAACTTCTTGGCGTCTACTCCAAACCTTTATTCTCTGGCAAATTGGTTCACTTTCTGTTAACCCGACAGCTTAATGTTGTCAAGCGACAAAATTCAAAAGTTTTTCCATGTACTTGTTTTCACGATTAAATAGTATCTAGTTCTTTTTTGTGTTTTTCTCGCTTCCCTCACTAAATTCCGTCTCCATATCCACAGATCTATTTAGATCCGTAATTTTTTAATTATCCATGAGTTTAGATATTCAACTTCTCTGGTAGATCTATATTTATTCATGTATATTTTGTCAAACATCTATTATTTGTTTTAGATATCCACAAATCTACTTAGATCTGTATTGTATCTATTCATGTATATATATTTACCAAGCATATGTTGTTCTATTGTAGATATCCACAGATCTACTTAGACACTCTGCAGGTTTGCATTAAATGGAAGTCGCCTCCTTCTTTCTGTCGCCGCGTAACTGTCACGTCCGAAACAAAGACGTCGCTTCATCCCTTTTTTGCCAAAAAAGTCAAGATTGCTATCCCACTCGCATGGATACGTAAGCGCCTGGGTTTTTCGTTATTTTGGAGAAATCGAAGGGTAGAAGTGAGGCTTTTTTTCCATTACTTGGAATCAAATCAGTCCTCTGCACTAATTTGCCTCTCTGTTTTTACCTCTGCGCTAACTCTCCCTATAAATAAACAAATAATTGTGTTATCTCGCGTAATAAGAATTGTGCTATATGTATGACCTTGTCAACATATATAATCTTAAAACAAATTAATCATAATGTGTCCACATTTTATGTTGGTAAGATAAACAAATCAAATTTACGATACATTTGTCTAGCTAGTCATGTGTGAATTTGAAGATACGATTAAAACTGTTTGAAATTTCTGTCTGTGATTTAGAAATTGAAATCCATAAGAAACTTTAAAATCTATAGCCGTTGTATAAATTTGCGATGATTAACAAAACCCGATTGAGCTTAGATAAATTATGATTAACAAGATAATGTCCATTTGGTTAGTAGCTACAACTAGGTTAGATTAGCTAAAAGCTAGAATTCAAAATGATTAAATGAGATTCTCATAATAACAAGACAATCTCTTGACTATGAATTTGTTCTAGTTGATGCCTTGATTTTTTTTTCGAATAAAAATAGTTTCAAAGTGAATTTGTGACCATGGACTCGGAAAAAGTGTGTATCACTAAAAAATCTGGCATACACTGAATACAAACCTCGAGGTCTTTTAAAAAGAAAACAAGATTTGTATGGATGGACTCATATGTTACTACGATATGTACAGGCACGTGTTTGTAACCTACATGACACAATGAGACATACAAGACAGCTGATACGGTAACCATAAGTGGTCCTTTCCCGAATAAGAAAAAACAAAGCTGGTCCAATTTTTATTTTTATTTATTATGTTTGTTAGTAATATTTAATTGGCTAATTACAACAACATAAATAATTAAAGGCTGTCTAATCACAACAACAACACAAAAGAAAGAAAAAAATACTGATCCTGTTGGTCCTGAAAAAAAAAAAATTCACACTTTATGAACTAATATAATTTTTACTTGTATTTTTACGAATATTGTATCTTATGTCACTCAACTTTATTAAACATGGACCAAAGTGACAGCCATTTTATTTATGATTTACCATCACATTCCTTTGGCACATAAGAAAATAAAATTTTGGTTATGTAGCAAATTAATCCAAGTTTCAAACTGCCATGACGTGTTGGTGATTGGTTACTAATACAGCACACGTGCATCACGAGTTATGAAGCAAATAGACAAACAGCAAACAATAAAGATAAGATAGTTTTAAAACCAAACGACCAAAAACTTTTTTCTTTTCGCGGGCACCACTTTGAGGCCATATTTTAACTCCGAGCTTGTGAACCTAATTAAGTACCAAGGTCGACCAAATATTTACTTAAGTTTGTCTTTTATCAAAGTCAACAATTAACCAAAAAAAAAAAATTTAAGAAAAAGAAGAAGAAGAAAATCTGCTAGGAATCATCCAGAAAGACACGTGCCATTAAGATTGTTCAGTAGAAAATCGTTTACAATGTAGAAGACAAACCAAGGTGAGCTGTGTCTGAATACAAATTCTATATATTCATGCCATGGGCCATACGACCATTATTCTTAGCTAGTATTTCAAATTTTAGGATACGAACGTTTTTACTTAAAAGTTTTAGGCCTTTGTTCAATAATTAATTTTGGTGTTTGAGGCCAGTCGTTGATAAAATGCATAGCGTAAATCACTTTTGTTGAACTAGCTAGTGACAATGAGTATTCATTTCCAAGATCACCCACTTTGTTATATTGGGTATTTCTATAGGAACATAAATAATATTGAGCAAACAAAATTAAAGTGTCCTTATAACTGAACCAGCTTTTGCTGGAACTTTAGGCAGTTGCTGATATATCTGGATAGAACTTAAGGGGAAAACTTATGTGTATTCATAACAAAAGTTCCATAAACTCATGTTGTTTTCCTTTCTAAAATTTCTACTAATCATTCAATAAAATGCCTGAAATTTGTTACAGTAACTCTTTCAAAATCGGCTTAAATCACGGATTTTTTTTTATCTAATATCACCAGCTAATATAACTTAATTTAAAATTAAACGATACTTTCATAGTTGGAATTTCTCTCATTACCTTAAACTCTATCAATATTCAGTTCGTGATCCACTATTATATATACTAGTACGTTATTTGGGTCTCTCATTAGGATCTCAGATGCTCTTAATTATAGCAAACTGCAACCCATTTATCCTCATGGTTAGAAAAAAGTTAATATCTGGGACAGCTCTCCATTTCAATTTTGCAAGAAGACTCCAACTACTAGTATCAGTTATATAAGGGACGTTATTTCTATGCATTTTGGTTGAAAGGGATTTATGAAGAGTTAAGATTCAAGTTGAGACTTAAGTGTGTTATGCTTGTCCTAAAATAGTATGCATTAAGAACAGACAACCCACATGAGTTTGAAATTACATTTATATATAGAAACATTATAGCTTATGGTGAAATTATGGCTTCTAAGGTTCACAACACAAACAACCCACGGGACATGTTAACTAAATCACTACTAGGAAGTAAGTTCGAGAACTGCTTGAGCTTGCTGAAGGTGCTCTGGAGATGATTGGTCGGAGTAGTCAGATTTCACATCATTGAGAGTTACTATGAAGAATACAACTCTGAAGATAAAGGATGGAATCCAAACAAAGATAGAGAGTAAAAACGATTTCAGAGTGTTCAGTCTCGACAGGGCCGGCCCAAGGCTAAAGCCCGTAAAACATGGGCTTTAGGCATCAAATGTCTATAAAATAATTTAGGGGCATCATTTTACAAACATTTATTGTGGTACAGTGGTTAATTCCTCCATTCTCTCATCAAAGGTGCTGAGTTCGAGTCCTTTTAGTGTACTATGTATATAAATTTTGTTTTAATTATGTATAAGGATGGACCAAAATTTTTTTTTGCTTTAGGCAGCAATTTACCTTGGGCCGGGCCTGAGTCTCGAAATCCATGTCCTAAATGCCACTTGTCACATTTAAATGTCTCACAAAAACAAACTAGAGAAACCAATATAAAAGTTAAAATAAACATTTAGTTTTTTTGGTAGGCAAAATAAACATTTAGTTTGTCACTTCACATTTTACCCAAAAAAAAACCATTTAATTTGTCATTCAATTGATTTGGTCGACTTTTTCGGATTAAATTTTAATTAATATGTGTATATATATATAACAAATTAATGTTAGAACATGTTAACTAGTAATCTATCAAACGCGTACGTATCTATATAGCTAAAACTAGTATGTCTTTAAATAGTCACTCTATTACTAAATGTCGTTAAGAAGTAAGAATTTAGGTTTACTCTGAATAAAATGCATAACAATTGAATAGACCAAAACCTAACATGAACTATCATAGCATGATAATGTGATAATATGAAACGAAAACGATTCGCTATCAAATCTACTTTGGGTTAACATTAATCAATCCCAAAAAATATACTTTGGGTTCTGTGTAGTTGTCGTCTGTTGTTTTATTACTAGATTTAATTATTTGGTTCTTACTTCTTGATCGTTTTTGTTTCAAGTATGGTGTACTGATTTTTTATTTTTTTTTTATAAGTATGGTGAACTGATTTGGGACCATATATATATGAACACACATTGTAAGTTATTTGGCTTCTAAGATTACAAAGATATTTTCTTGTGATGAAGAATATTTCAGAAATTGGATCCTTGGAATATTCTCTATCAATGGGTGCTTAAAAAGTGATTCAGCCGATTATTATTTGTCGCATATATGTTAGACAGATGTGACATTTAACAACAACTTAATCCTTACCCGAAAGAAACATGATTCACTAAACAAAGTACTATTTTAGATTTATGAAGAGCTTTTATTTCTAGTTGGTATAAGAGAAATGTTCCACTAAAAGTAAATAATTTCCATAAAAATATGCAACTTTCTCAAGTCTCTAAAAGCTACATGAATTAATATTTGATCCGTTATAGTAATAATATACAAATTTATTCCTTTATGTTTAACACCCTTGGTTTAACAGAATATAAACTCCATTTCTTTTTTTTTTAAAATTAGAAAAAAATCATATTTATATAGTGAAATTTATACTATTTCTCATTAGTCTTTTTATAATAATAAAGTTACTTTAAATTCCTCTAGTTGTATAAAATATACATATAACGATAGTCAACCAAAAAAGACAGAGAAGAGAGATACGTTACAACTTACAAATAAATCAAGTCCACGAGGTGGGCTTGACCCACATGCATTGAATTATATCTCCACACGTTCATAGAGGATCTATAAGAAGTCTACATTATTTAACTGATTAATTAAGTCTATATTGTTTCATAACCATTCTTAAGCATTGTCGTTCATTTTCCAAATTTTGGATCTATACTAAACAAGCTTATAGTATTTTTCAATCAAAAATTTGTGCTTTAGTCGTATTATTAGTGTTGTTTATGTATCCGCGATTTTAATGCTAATGTGTGAGTTTTTTTTGTTAAAAGCTTTGCTAATGTGTGAGTTGCAAGTTGTATATTTCATACTTCTCCCAATGTTTTATTTCAAATTAACTGGTGATTTGACTTAAATCTAATTGTAGGTCATTTATGAGATCTTGTCATATTATATAAATAGTTAAATACGTACGATCAAATGCTAGTACAATGTTAGTTGAATCTAGCGTCCAAATTTACGATTTGTTTATAAATTATATTTCACAAAATCAATCTTATCCTTGACTATTTTAGCTTGAATGAGAATTTTCGACGCATAAAAATAAGTCAACAAATTTGACAAAGATATATAAGAAGTTGCTTGCAATCCTTACAAAACTATTTTGTTCTTAATAAAAATCCGTAAAGATGATGTTCTTGTTGGGCCTAGAAACAAGAGTTTAGGCTAATTGGGTACTTCAGAACTAAAAAGCCTAGTTAAATCTCAGTTTATAATTGGTTACATAGAACTATAGAAGTAAAACGAAAACATGTACCACCAATACTTGCACAATTGGGAGTTTAGGCTAACAAAACATTGCATGATTCACTGAAATTTTGTTACCTTTGTGACATATATACTTCATTCGTTTATATATTAACAAAAAGAAGAAAATTCTTTATTTATAGAACCTTTTTTTCTTTTTCAAATTGGTTTCATTGATCACGAAATTCACGATATTTAGCATTAGGGAATATATGTGTTAGTGTTGTTGATACATCACCATCTAACTTTAAATCCACTTAATACAAACTCTTAACAAAATAAAATTTGATATAATCAGATAAAAATGAATGAAAATGTTTTTTTTCTTCTTCTTTGAATAAATTTAATAACATAACAAAATAAAACATAAGTATCCACAATTACTCCAACGACCTAAACTTAGTGTAGGTTAATTCCAAGGTCAATCCTGCAGCTAATTACATACTTAAACAAGCCTCTTCCTCCATTACCATTAATGGTCAATTTTAGCATCTAAAAACCAACATTTTCCTCAGATTTATATACATCTAAATAATCTTCAACAAGAAATGTCTAGTTTTCATAGATGATAATTAATATGATCAGCAACATTAGAAGAATAAAACACATCTTTCAACAAGAACAAATTGGTAAATTCAAATCATGTATTAATAATCAAATCAAAACAACAACAAAGAGTGTTGAGTCTAATACATACACATTACATTAAAACTATTATTCATCAGATTCCACATTTTCTTCTTCTTCTCCAATATTACAAACTACAAAGAGAGAGAGAATGACAATAAGAGAAGAAAAACAGTACCAGAGAATCATCTTGACAATCTTCAAATGTCTAAATCCTCCAATTGAATGTTGCTCTTAAGAGGCACATAATCTCCAAGATACCCACCAAGATGATCATACAAAGCGGTCTTATCGATCGTTTGATGATGATAACTCTTACAAACATAGTAAAACACACTCTGAACCAACAAACCCACAAGATTAACCATCACAAGAACACCAACTAACAATCCACCAACCAAAGTCCTAGTAAATGTTCCATACTTCCCTCCACCATGAACCACAACCGCGCCGAAAACAACTCCAATTAATCCACAGAGGAAAAGATAACCAAAGACTAACCCCATAGCCAACTTAGTCTTCCCTTTAAGCAACTCATAAGCTTTTCTCATAGCGGCGATTCCATAAACCGGTTCAAGAACAGAGATCACACTACCTAAATGCCATAAAGCAGTGAAATACACATGAACACCAAAGTAAAGAACAGAGATTATGATTCCCGCTAGAATAGCTAAACCTAGACTATTCAAATCAAGAGCTACGAGAAGCATCACAAGGAAGACAAAGAACACTGCGTTATAAGCAAACATCAAGAGAGCAACCCAAAGGAAAGTTATAAAGAGTCTTTTAAAGACTTTTGGAATTGCAGAGAGAGTTGATGAGAAAGAAACTGGCTTTCCGGTGTAAAGAGAAGCGACGGTGAAGACTACCGCGGCGGTTGAGAGAAGAGAGAAGGCAAAGAGGAAGATCAAGTAGCTGAACTGGAAGATTAGAAGAACAGTCCAATCATGACGTGAACGATCTGAGTTTGGTGGGTCGGATTTGTCGAGTTTGGCCAAGATTGGTTGAGTGAAGAGTGAATGAGCGAGGATTGCGAAGGAGAGTGGGAAGATTAAGGAGAGGGTTATGAGGTAGAAGGTTCTTGGAGATCGTTTCTTGATTGAGATTGATTCTTGAAGTAGTTGAGGAATTGTCAAGAACTGAAGCTCTTCTGGTTGGAGATCCATGGTTGGTTCTTTGGAATGAAGTTTGATCGGAGAAGAACAGAGAGGAGAGATTAAGAATCACCGACGGGTCAATTTGGAAATCTGAGAAAGATGTAAATATTTATTTTCTTTGTGGTGTTTTTGTTGATACCAAGAAGATGGACAAAAAATGACGATAAAGACTTTTTGTCTTGGAAACTTCAGGGAAACTCATATAACACGTTTTGACTAGTATTGTACCAATTCTTTTTTTTTTTGGCAACTAAGTAATTGTTTATTTTTTGCTTTGAATAATATGATGGAATTGTTATTCGCTTTATTTTGTGGGAAAATATTTTTGGTCAAGTTTTATGAGCACAACTCTTTATGCATGAGCTGAGACGCAATCATGGAATCAGGATTAAGACTTTCTTTCTTGTTTTTTTGGGTTTTAATTTTGTACTATTTAAATATGTATTTTACATTTTGTATGTTAGTTATTTACATATTGAAATAATCAAATAAATAATAAATAAAATTTAACTTATAAATACATATATAATATATAATTTAACTTCAACGACATATATAATTTAACTAGCTACTATTATATATGTTTTCACGTTATAATCAGGATCAAGGATTTTAAAAAGAGCAAACAGAAAAATTAATGATGTTAAAAGTTTATTAATATATACGACCTTACTTGAAATAGGATTAATAAATTTTCTGATGAAGTTATGATACTTTTTTTTTTTTTTTGCTATGAATGTTAATATCATTATAAAATGAAAAGTTATGATACTTATTTTACAAGTTTGCATTTTTAGAAAAATAGAAACAAAATCAAGGATTAATGCTTACTTCCACTGAATCTGAGGTGCAGAGAAATCACATGGACCGATGGTCCCAACAGTTAACTGTCTATATCAACTTTATAATTCAGATTCAAACATATTAAATACTACTTAAATTTGCATAATTAATAAATGTGAATTATCTTTGCGATGAATATTGAACTTATAACTCTTTTTTGTGTGTGTTTGGAGATCTTATAACTTTACGTAAGGAAATAGAACTAACAATCAAACGTTGGTGTATAAGCACTATCCTACACACACAATTTCTTTAATTATACTTTCAATTTCGTTTAGGGAAACATAAGAAATGGACAAGACCGGTCCATGGTTATATACTTTCAACTTTTGTTTTGGTTTTTAATTTGTAGAAATAATTAAAGATATGTAACAAACGTGTTTTTAATCGAATGTTTTTTTTTAATCTTTTTAATCTGTCACTAGTGTTATAAATAATAACGAAAAGAGAATTATATATATGTGTATATATGAACAAGAGAGAGAAAGGTAATAATAATTGAAGTAGAGATCGAGAGTTAGAAACGAGAAATACAACTCTTTGCTTTATTATCTTCTCTCACTCTACTTTTTTCTTCTCTCATTGTTATTACTCTCTCTCTCACAATGAACGATGGAACGTCTATATATAGGAGAATCTGGATAAGATAAAGATGGGGTAGCTTGGAGAGAAAGAGACTTGGGGAGAAAGGAATAAATGGATAATTATCCATGTTTTTCAACACTCCCCCTTAATTATCCATTATTGCGTACTGTCTCGTTAAAAACCTTATCATGGAAAAACCATATAGGATCAAAACCATGATAAGGGGAAAAGAGTACAGTGACGCAATCTCCCCCTGGAACAGACGAATCTTGTTCTCTTTATAGCTTTTGTAGATGATGCATCTCGATCATTCTCTTTGATTCTTCTGATCTCGTCAATGTATAACAAAGATTTTTTGAAGAGAGATAGACCTTCACTTTGTTGTCTATCTTTTGCGTGTTATTTGCTGCCTCGTTAAAAACCTTGTCATGGAAAAACCCAGTGGGATAAAAACCATGATAAGGGAAAAAGAGTGCAGCCACGCTCATCATCATATGTCTCCCCCTAGAAGCATCTTCTTCAAAAGATGCATTTCGAATGACGTAGCAGAAAGCACCTTTGAACTAAAACTGCTACATTGTTACTTGGCCAGATGTACTGAACATCAACTTCTTGCTTCTTCTCAGATTCTTGAGTGCATGAGAAGAATCTTGGGAGAACATGTCTTGTCATCTCGCTCTTGACATATCTTTCTTTGAGTTGGGAAACATATGTAACAACGTCTTGTTGTTGGCTCTTCACTGGTGCATATATTTCTTGTTACTTGTATATGTTGAAAGCATCAATCTGAGCCATACAGATTCTCGACATGCTTCATGGAGCGCAATAATTTTGGCATGGCTTGAGCAAGCGGCGGCCAAAATTTGTTGTTGGAAACGCCACGTAGTTGTTGATTTGCGATATATATTTCTATAGATCTGATATAGATCCTCCATCTGCGAAACCAACAAAACCAAACTCGGGGTTTCTAGAATAAAATAAGCCCAAGTCAATCGTACCTTGCAGATAGTGGAAGACACATTTGAACTCATTCAAGGTCTAGTCGGAGAAGATCAATTAATCCTGCAAGTAGATCAGTAGAAACTGCTAGGTACAATATATTCACTAGATATATAAATGCTCGTCAGCATTTATATATGCTAGCTACAATTCACAAAATATATAAATACTCGTCAGCATTTATATATAGTGCTTCATGATCAAATATATAGAGTCGACTTCCTTTAGAAGTGACTAATATAACATCTATTTCTATAGATGTTTAGTTGGAATATCTGGAGACATTTTTGTCTTTCCAAGATCTTTTATTCCAAATAACTCTTAAAGAGTTTCGATGATGTTCAAAATCATCATACTTAAAAGTTCTCGGGAATATAGTTATGATATCATATATCTTTAAGGGATTAGTCCTACAGACATCCCATGAGGCGCAATTCAAGTCATTTATTCATCAACTCAATATAGAGTGATTTTGACAAAACCCGGCGCGACACACCGTCTTGTCTTAAGTATCATAATACTCTTTTGATGCTTGGACCATGTGTCCAGGAATTACTCGTTTCTTATACGAGATTAATATAGACTTGGCTGCGTCTTTGTTTATTGGCCAATATATATCTCTTTACGCTCACAGAGCAGAGATTTATGATCCTCATTAATCACATTTGCGCGTTAGATCATTTTTATTGTCGACTTTATGTTGTCTTTGGTTCCATATTTGCCGTAATGACATGGTTAATCGAGATCTCTTAATCATTATAAAAGATTTTATTCAAGTACCTGATTTCGTCTTTAACCATGCCAATCGGTCTTTTGACTTCTCTTTAGGAGTCTCTTTGCTCTTGTCGAGGAGTCTCTATGCTCCTCGTTAGAAGTTTATATGCTCCTCTTTTAAGAGTTTAATCCTCTTTTTAGTAATAATATGCTCTTTTTTATTTTCGAGGATTTTCTTTATATTTGGAACCAAAGTTGTCTATCACGTTTTTTCACATGTTATAGACAACAATATGTCATCCGTCAGAGACATATTTTTGTAGAGCATTTTTAGCTGGGACGAGAGATTTTCTATGAACTTTAAGTTCATATGCATTTATATGAGGATCAATAATTTCAATAAATCTCATCCATCAGCTTTTTGCATTTGATTTGCAATTTATTATGAATAGTAATCCTTTTGAACTTTTGAACTCTAAAGTTCATATTTATGATATTCATTTGTTCAAAGATCCAGACTATTCAATGATTCTCCCATAAGGATGGGGAACTTTATCATCAAGATGATGATTTGCAAATCTTGCAATAGGCACATCTCTCATAAGATGGCTCAATATTATAGAGCAGAGACTCATCTCTAGCGTCTATATATTTCATCCTTTTAGGATGTTAATTTTTAGGCGGTGCAGAAGAGCATTTATAACATATATCTCACACCCATAAAATTTAAAAATGAGAAATATTTGATCTCCAATCATGTATATAAAACATGGGAGAAATATTTCTTATAAATCGTTGGCCTTATATATAATTATTAATACATGCAAAATTGCATGCTCCATGTAAAAACATGGAGATTAAATCACCATGAATCGTTTTGCAATCTCTTAGATTTTCCCCATGAACGATTCGCTTAAAGCTCATTTTGAGAGTGAACATCATTTTTAGATGTTCCACTTTATCAAAAAGTGATAAATTTTAGGATATGAGTTCACCAGAGTTATCTCGCTCTAGGTGTCAAATTCACCAAAATTTATCAACTTATTGTCGATTTGGGATTCATTTAATTCTCCCCCTCGAGATGATAACTCTTCGAGTTCATTCATCTCGAACTGAATCCCACTTTAGGATCAATAACATATCCAATATGGATCATGTATTTATTCTTAGATCCTTATAAAAAATGTGGGACTTGTAATACCCCTTCTCAAGATGATGGCTTTTCAAGCCTATTTATCTTGGACCGAATCTTATTTTTAGATCGGTTATATTCGGGGATGAGTTTGGGGATTATGAAAAAATCAACCAGCATATATAATGAGCTTATAAAATAAAAAAATGGTGATTTGACCAAAAATTATATGATTCTGGAGGCATAGCCTACTACAGAGTTAAAGAGAAGGTATGCAACCTTCGACTCGATATAATAGAAAAATTAGATAAATTTAAATAAATTGAAATAAATTCAATATAAATTAAATGTTACCTCTGAAATGTGGACGGAAGCATCCAGTGCTCGAATAGGCTTCTCTTTTTTTTACATAAAATTTTAGTGATATTTAATCACTCTTTTTAAGTTCCAATTTAGGTCATCAATATATACAGCAGTGATCACAAATCTCGAAAGAGATTCTAAATAAAGACGCAAGGGCATATTTTATTATTAACATACCCTTTCTTTAATAAATAATCGCTTAAACGATTATATGCGTCTGGATTATTTTAATCCGTAAAGTGATCGCTGTAATTTGACCGTACATATTTCATTAGACTTTGAGTCTAATGGCTCAGGAACTTTAAATCCTTCTAGGATTTTTATGTATATATTAAATCCAACGATCCATATAAACATGTTGTCACTACATCCATAAGGTACAATTCTAAATGATAAGAGACCGTTAGGCTCGTTGTGTACCTGAATGTAATTGTATTCATGACCGGAGAATATGTTTCTTCATAATCAACTCCAGGTCTTTGAGAAAAACCTTGTGTAACAAGTCGGGCTTTATATCGTGTGATTTCAACTTTTTCGCACGAAGACCCACTTGCACCCAATAGGTTTTATATATTTAGATGTAGTGACAAGAGATCCAACGACATCTCTTTTATTAAGGAAGAGCAATTCAATATATTGCACTTTTTTTTTAATCAGGCCCTTGTTAGCACTGATATGGATCCTGGATCTGTATCATTATCATCAAATGCATTTTTCTACCGGGATGGCTTGACCGGTTATGCTATATTATAGCAATTAGCAAATCTCTGTTTGCTATCATAAATATTTTTCCATCTTTATTTTGTATGATATAATCATACATATGCGTGTCTCCATTTGTGGTTGGACATTCAATACCACATTTATTTATAGTCTCAATATAATAATTATAAAAATAAATGTCTTTGAAACTACACGAGTTTCTTTGAGACTTTGGAGAACACGAAGCATCGATTATTATGAATCTGATGCATTTGGAAGTCGAGAGACTAGCTTATTTAGACCTTCCAATTAATTTGCACTGTCTAAAAATATATTGACCCGTGCTTCATATATTCTCATAAGAGAAATATATTTTTGATTTTAAACATATTTCAAAGTCTTTAAATCTCATATAACATATATATTTATTCTTTACGAATAAAATAAATAAAAATAATTAAACACATAAATGTACAAAATAATAATTTATGGACTATAGCCTTTTCATATAAGAATTCAGGAGGCATCGCCTTCCATTAAAAATTCAATAGGCATAGCTTTCGTTTGATCGTAGAGAAGGAGGCAGAGCCTACCATATATATCGATCAATCCGGAAAAAAATATAAATTTTCATTTGATCGTTAGGAAGGTAAAACCTACCATATATGACGATCGATCCGGAAAAACCATAGCCATTTATTTGATCGTAAAGGAGGCATAGCCTACCATATATTACGATCTATCCGGAAAAGACATAGCTTTTTATTTGATCGTAAAGAAGGCAGAGCCTACCATTTATAACGATCAAACCGGAAAAAGGCATAGTCTTACGATGTCTAAAATAATTATGTTCTATAAACATAAATAAATTTAAAAACTATAAATTTTACTTACCTCGTAATCGCTCAAGCGGTAAAGACATCGTGCTGATAACGTGTTATAAATAATAACGAAAAGAGAATTATATATATGTGTATATATGAACAAGAGAGAGAAAGGTAATAATAATTGAAGTAGAGATCGAGAGTTAGAAACGAGAAATACAACTCTTTGCTTTATTATCTTCTCTCACTCTACTTTTTTCTTCTCTCATTGTTATTACTCTCTCTCTCTCACAATGAACGATGGAACGTCTATATATAGGAGAATCTGGATAAGATAAAGATGGGGTAGCTTGGAGAGAAAGAGACTTGGGGAGAAAGGAATAAATGGATAATTATCCATGTTTTTCAACAACTAGGAATTATTTCTACACTAGCTACTTTAATCGAATGGAATGTAAGAAATTAATACTTAAATTAAACACTTGCCTTTTTAAGCCATATCCTAGCACAAACCAAAGAAATAATATAAATTTTGTAAGACTTCCTATTATTATTTGATGAACCATCCTAACCGTTAGATAAAAGTTCCATTTATTTACTTCAGAATTAATTTATCATCACGTATAGAAAATAATCAAAACCAATAAAACAACCAAAAAAATCTCCCCATAATTTCCATTAACATCACATACATTATACATATGAAAGTAGCAGTCTCTATATAAATAGAAACTGTTCATCTCAAGGTTTCATTTTCTAAAAAGAAAAAAAAGTAACCACCTTTCTTTCTCTTTCTCTTTCTCGTACGTTTAACAATCTCATGAAATTAGGGTTTTAGAAAGATCGATCAATTGAAGATGAGGAAAGGTAAGACAGTGATAAAAAGGATAGAGGAGAAAATAAAGAGACAAGTGACATTCGCAAAGAGAAAGAAGAGTCTACTGAAGAAGGCACATGAACTCTCTGTTCTCTGCGATGTTCACCTTGGTCTCATCATCTTCTCTCACTCCAACAGGCTCTACGATTTCTGCTCCAACTCTACCAGGTTTATACATAAACTCATACATATGTGTGTTCTTGTTTTTGTAAAACAAAAAAGAGAGAATAAATTGAATGCTCTTTAATATGGACAGAAAAAAAAAGTTCATGAATTTTGATGTAATTGTAATGAATCAATACCATCGATCATCACTTGGTTTCATCTTTTCTTTTTCGTTGATTTATTTAAGAGAATTAAAATGCTGAAAATAGTGCCTAGGAATGAGATCATAAATCATTTAAGTGTTGCTTCGTTTATTTTTTCCGCAAGTTTGAAATGCTTTTGGTCATCTATTTTTTTCATATAACGTGGTATTGTATCGTTTTTATGCTTTCTTGGGTCTATGGAAAGTTATGATCTTTGTAGGAAAAGTTATGATTTTTGTAGTATTGATCCAAAAGAAAATTCATATTAAAGTTCATCAAGAAATAACTAATTATCTTGATTAACAGTTTTCCTCTGTTTTCTAGTTTCTAATTTTATTTAAAAATTTTAACATCAGCATGGAGAATGTCATCATGAGATACCAAAAGGAAAAAGAAGGTCAAACCACTGCAGAACACAGTTTCCACCCGGTAATAAATTTTTTTATAATTCATGAATAATATTTATCTACGCATGTGTAAATTTATCGATGTTATATTTGATTATAATAAAAATTGTTGAAATTTTATTTTTATAGGATCAGTGTTTAAATTGCGTGAAGACGAAGGAATCAATGACGAGAGAGATAGAGAATCTTAAGATGAATCTTCAATTGTACGACGGACATGGCTTGAATCTCTTAACCTACGACGAGCTCCTTTGTTTTGAGCTCCATCTCGAATCTTCTCTCCAACATGTTCGAGCTCGTAAGGTAAATATTACTATTAATACTCTCTATAGTCTATACATTTATTTTGATCGTTATTAAACTTCTTTTGTTATAATTGTTTTATTAGTTAAAAATTAATGGTTATTGTCTCTTGTTTATTACGTAGTTTGAGTTTATGCATCAGCAACATCAACAAACAGATCACAAGCTTAAGGGAAAAGAAAAGGTGAGTTCTTGGCATTGCTATTTTTGTCCACTAAATCTGATAATAGCTCAGAATAATTTTGTAATTTTCGAAGCTTAATTATATATAAACCATTTTTCCAACTGTCTGTATTATTTTTCTTAATAGGAAATACTAATGGATGACAAAAGCCAACTTTTTCCTCATCCGGTACATGCCTTTGTGTATATATATATATATATAGATATGATATTTTTGTTTTCATAATGTATATGTATAACGTTTTGCATGTACTTAATTTTGAAAGGGTCAAGGAAGCTCTTGGGAGCAGCTGATGTGGCAAGCAGAGAGACAGATGATGACGTATCAAAGGCAAAAAGATCCTACACCGGCGAGTGAAGAAGAAGTTCCCTTTTTACGGTGGGGATCAACTCACCGGCGTTCTTCTCCTCCTCCAGCTGCCACAACCAGGCCCATAACTTCTCTCTATCCATAAAAAAATAACTTAAAACATAAACTGATAGTAAAGAGTCTAAAGACTAAAGAGTATACCCGGTTTGGTTCGGTTAGGTTTATATACCAGACAGTTAATTAACTTCCGGTTATTATCCTATTTGCTGATGTGTTGCGAAATAGACAGTTTGCAACTGTTTAGATTTTAGTATTACAGTGATGGACGATTTTAGCATTGCACAGCAGGCATATTTACGACTCCATGCCATCGAGACCTTTTTTGCCCTTCACATAAACTAATTATTACACTTTATGCCACTGAACTCTCCACCCAGTTGAACTACCGATGTCCCCTTTAGTGTTCGGACAAGTGTTCGGAGAAACCAAATCGATATAAAACTCCGATGACCCGGGATAAAATTCAACGTCTTCCCTCGAGACCGGCGGCGAATTCCTTTTGAAGATCTCCTAAAGATTCACATTTCGCATTATCTCGTTTCCCCCATTTTCAAGTTCCGATAAATGCAACAATGAACCAAATCGAAGAAGAAGATGGAGATCCAAACCCTAATCTACCGGAACGTCTCTTCGCCGTCGATTGCTATCCGGATAAAGCCCGTCTTAATATATATTCAAGACCCGAGTATCTTGGTACACTTGCTAAACTTCTCCAAGGCTCTGAAGAATTGGAACGAATTAAAAGTTCTCAATTTGGGAAATTGTTCGAATTCCCTGTTGCTCGTTGCTCACATTCAGGTAAGCTAATACATGGTTTACTATCGCGACAAGTCGTCACTAAAAAGAAACACGAGTTATGGTTTGTGTTTGGTGGACACCCTATGCGTTTTTCTATTAGAGAATTTCATATAGTGACTGGTCTTCGTTGCGGTAAATTACCAACAGAAGATGAGATAAAGAAGCACCAGGATCAGTACTTGTCTGTGTGGAATAGGCTTTTTGGAAAGAAAAGCATGGTAACGGTTGGAGATGTGTTGGATATGTTGTTACAAAATGATAAAGTCATAGAGAAGAGAAAGCAATTTTCTTCTTGGAAAAAGCTTTGTTTAGCTCTTATTGTAATTGTGGATGGTGTTGTTGTATGCAATGACCAAAGCTTTATCAGTCCAGATTTTGTGGAGATGTTGAATGATATCGACTTCTTTTTGGATTACCCGTGGGGGAGAAAAGCTTTTATCGCAACCATTTTTCGTTTCGGGCCACCTAAGGATGCACCTAATCCGATAGGGAAACTTAAGAAACGTTTGAAACAGAAGACGAGCGCGTGTTACGGGTTTCCTCTAGCTCTTCAGCTACAAGCTTTTCAATCTATTCCGGTGATATTGGAGAGGATAAAAGATCCAACGGATCTTCGGAACTTCAGTGAGAGGTCATCTGAGGGGTTGTCAACAGCGTTTCTGCTTCGTGAGAGTTACATTCTTGACGCTGAGGTTGATGACAAGCTTGTGGTTGCACACACATTGGAACCTAAGGGAACGATTAACGAATCTGAGTTGGTTTGGGAAACAGAGGTTTCTGATCCCAAGGTGGATTACATTTTGAAATTGATCAACGAGGGACATTGTTTTAAACCATTTGAATGGCCACACTTGAAAGCAGCAAATCAAGAGGTCAATATTCCAGACAATGATGGTGATAGCCCTGAAGATGTCACAGAGGTTTATCAAGCAAGGCACAAAAAGCCTCTGACTAGGTCTTCTAAGAAGGAGAAGGAAGTTGTCAAGCCTCCTACCATCCACAAACATACTTCTCAGAAGAAACCAACGGCTAAAGTTCCTGTTGGCGGAGAAAGTAACGACCCGGGGTACATCACGCTTGCTCATTTGAATGACATGAAGGAGTGGATACTGAAACAGAATGAAGACCTCAGAAACAAGATTAGGGAGGATGTTAAAGAAATTGTTGGTCCCAAATCACCCGCAGGAGGAGCATCTAATCTGCGCCGATCAAGCAGGCTTAACACCAACCATAAGGGAAAGACTGATGCATCACCCTCTAAGAAAACCGGCAACAAAGAAACGCGAAAACGAAAAAGAAAACAGGTAGAGGTTCACTCCTTATCAACTGGAAGCGAGTCAGCCGGTGACATTGAAGATGAAGAGGATGTTCAGAGTACATGGAAAGAGGACGGAAATGCGCAAAGCCGGGGTACATTTGATAAGTGCGATGATTGTGGAGATGCTCTAAAAATCACTCAGGAAGGTGATTTGATGCAAGAAGAAAGCGACTTTGTAAGTGTTTTTTACATTCTTACATCACATTCCCATATATTTTATCTGATCCCACTTTGTTTTTCCTCCTGTTATTGCTTATGGTTATAAGTTATAACAATATCAAAGTTCTTGTAGGATCACTGTTCTTCAAATTGTACAAAGACGAAAGAATCAATGATGAGAGAGATAGAGAATCTTGAACTGAAGCTTCAATTGTATGGAGGACATGGTCTGAATAATTTAACCTACGACGAGCTTCTTCATTTTGAGCATCAACTCGAATCTTCTCTCCATATTGCTCGAGCTCATAAGGTATATATATACACACTCTATACACACACATAATTATTTGAGACATATATTAGATATACATATACAACATGTACTTTGGTGAAAAATAGTTTTATAAACACACACAGAGATCCCAAATTTCACAGTTTTAGTGGTTCATGTCTCTTGTTTATTAATATGTAGTTTGAGTTCATGCAGCGGGAGCAGCAGCAACAACAAACAGACAAGCTTAAGGAAAATCTCATGTTGTGTCAAAGGCAAGAAGATGATGACATCATGCACCGGCAAGTGAAGAAGGAGAACCCACCGGCGTTCTTCAGCTCCTCGCGCCGCCACAACCAGCCCCAAGACTAGGACAACAATTTCTCTCTATCTAGCTAAATATCTAATAACACTTAAGCAGATCGACCCGGTTTGGTTCAGCCTACCAGACAGTTAATTTATTACCGGTTATTTTCTTTGCTGACTTTCTAATGAACATATTGACCCGGTTTTATATTAAAAGGAAAATTTCTCTAGCAGAAATTAACCAAACCTGTGTTCTGTTGTGTTCTCCTAACTCTATAGAGCTCATTAATAGGTACAGATCCTTACACAGTAATTGTAGGAGAGAAACTCCTCAAATCATATAAAATGTTAATAGTTATTTCTAACAATGAAAAAAGAATAAGAATTCGATAACAATTGGAAATGGGAAGCTATCTAATCTCTAGGAACTCACAACTGGATACATCCGACAGTGGTAAAAACTCATAAACCATATAACAAAGGATTGGAGTTGACAATTTTGGAGCTCGTTGGTTTTGGTTTAACATGAATCTTTCTTCTTAACCGGGTGGCCATTTCATCTGTCGGCCTCCGAGGACGTGTAGATGAAGATGGTAAACAGATTGGCCTGAATGAGAGGAAGTTAATTCAGTTAAGTGTAAGATAACGATGATGTTTGATTGGATGGAAAAGAAAAGACTTACAAGCTTCAACACCGTTGTTGATAACCACACGGAACCCGTCGAGGATGCCTTCTTTCTCAGCAACAATCTTCGATGCGTGTAGGAGTTGGCCAAGAACCTCTACGTGTCTTGGTTCAGCCTGCAATGACGTTGTAGAGGAAGATATGTTCAGGTAAGATCTTAATCTGTTCCACCAAAATAAAACCTTAACTCCTTTCACATAATTTGTTCACGAATTGTTCCTCCTTATTATCGGTTTATGAGATCACAGGCAGGTAAAAGATAAGGCAGCATTTACATATATTGACCAGAATCAGTGGCATACTCGTTACTAGTTACAGAACACAATGATATTGGCGGATTGGCCACAATACGAGATTCTATGAGACCTCAAAGAGTAGACCAAAGAAAGTCACGAGAAGGCATGACAAGAGTGATAGCTATTTCTATTGTGTAACGCAGACTGAAACACAATTAAGCTACTCATGGGCATGAGATGCCAAACAAGTATAATTACGAAAATTCATTATCCTATCTGTTTTCCGCCTTTGCTTTCCTATTTGCAACTCGAGAGAAACACGATTTAGGACTGCTAGAGACAGTTCAATTGCACCAGAAACAGATTAAATGTTAAAAACTAAAACTGACTCACATTGCCAAGCGTGGTCAAGCCATCTCTCAACTTAGGAATGACCAAAACATGAACAGGAGCCTGAGGGTTTATGTCTCTGAATGCCAAAACGTTTTCATCTTCATAGATAATATCTGATGGAATCTTTTTTGCTATAATCTTGTCAAATCTAAAACCACAAGATAAAATATGATCATTTTTGTCATTAATTCTCCAAGAATCACATCCAAAATAACTAGGTCACATGTTTGAAAGATTTAGCTCATTTTTAGCAAATACACAAGCATGGATTGATTTGAAGTTACAGCAATTTAATCCCAAAATCCATCTCCAGATCCTAAGGGCTACTAATTCTCAAAATTTAAGGAAGAAACCATACATGGTTGGAGCTCCGGTGTCAGCAACAGAAGCCGCAGCTTTCGCGGCGGCTTCTTCATTATGCGCAGCACGAGTAGAAGAAATGGATCTACCAAACAATTTAACCAAATCAGCTCAATTCCAATAATCTCCAAACAGTTAACACACAAAAGAATTGAGAAATTTTAACCTTGAGGAACGAGTATAAGGAAGAACCCTAATCAATTCTCCGGTGGAGAAGAAGATTCTCGAAGTCACACGAACAGACTGAGCAACTCTTCCCGCCGTAGAGAAGTTCCTGAAAACACGAAAAACCTCAACGCCATTAGCAAATTCAACAACCAAATTCCTTATTTCTGAATCGAGAGAGATAGAGAGAGTTTAACCGAAGCAGCATAGAGGAGGAAGTGACAGCCATTGAAGCTCTGCTTCGAACAACCGTTTCGATCGATTTTTCTTCTACATTTCAAATAAACGACGTCGTTTGGAGAGTATCAACCTACGACGTCGTTTGGGTATTAACTTCTTTATTTATTATTTTTTTTTTTTGAACAAACTTCTTTGTTTTCTTTAAATTAAAATAAGAACTTTGTTATAGATTTGGTGATTCTTTTGAGTTTAGTGATTAATTTGCGCACTAAGTAGCAGAAAAAGGGGGTCAAAATGATTCGATCGTATTGGATATTTGGATCTTATGAAACATATTGAGATCATCCAATTAAAAGTTGCAAACAATAAGTTATCAACTGGTATTATGTGTTTTTGCATTGATGAGCCAAGAGTTAAAGGAATAATTTCGTACGAGGAAGTGAACAGTACTATCACGTTTCAGCGAGAAAAACAGTGTCGGTGATCTTTTAGTTGCTTGGGTCATCATCAGTCATCACATCTCTAACACTTGCACTGTAATTTCGGAGCTCGGTAAATGAAGGGGTAAACTACACAGTCTACACCCCCGTAAAAGGTTTTGTAAACGAAGGTGATGAGATGTTAGAGATGAGATCTTGGTGGTAGTGGTGGTGCAAATGAACCTGATCGATGATTTGATGATTCAAGAAGACAACAAAAGACGACTAAACAGATGTCCAAATGTAGGGGTCAATATAGGACTAGAATGGGAAATGAAAAAGAAAAACTAAAACGTCTAAAACCAAGAAGTATGTATCCCATCATTCAGTTATCAATGCACATATATATATATATATATGTTAATTAATGTATCCGAAGACATCACACACATAAACCTAGACACAAATCTACTTAAACAGTAAAAATACAAAATAATTTTTAGTCCATTAGTCGTTTATTATTAGGTCCACATTTTCACTGGATCTTGTCAACAACGCCTAAGCGAAAGCATTGCAGATGGATTTTGAAAACGATGCTCATTATTCAAAGCTTTGAGTCCTGGAAGGCAGCTTCGAATTCAACTCCAAATGTCACCCTTGAGAGACAAGTATCCTTCACGCTCATTGATGACTCTTCTAACTATAGCTTTGCGTTCAACATGTTCACTATTCCTACCAATGGCCAAGCCCTTAAAAGTTATGTAGACAATTGCACGTTTGGCGTTAAGTCTCTCATTCGGCGGCTCCACTTCTTCAATAGTTTCTATCGCCACATTCACAATCTTCAACTTGGACAGATCGCCCTGCACCAACAACAAAACTAGTTAATTCTTATTATCAACAGTGCCACTCAAGGTATGTCACTGATATGCAAAAGAGAAAAAACTATTAGGACATAATGTCCCACATCGGAAGTTGGAAGGGATCCTAAGTAATATATAAAGGGATATGGGCCACTCCACTCATTGCCAATTGGTTTTGAGTTGGAAGCCCATAGAACTTAACATGGTATCAGAGCCCGATCCACACATGTCCAACCCGATCCGACCCAAAGATGGTCCAATCATCGACAAGGCCCAAAATTGATGCCGTCGATCTAAGCCCGAATATTCCGAGATTAATGGCCAAAGAGCCATCATCTCGAGGGGGCGTATTAGGACATAATGTCCCACATCGGAAGTTGGAAGGGATCCTAAGTAATATATAAAGGGATATGGGCCACTCCACTCATTGCCAATTGGTTTTGAGTTGGAAGCCCATAGAACTTAACAAAAACTTACATCTGAAATCTGCCTATGGCGTGAACAAATGACAAGTTCCAAATACAGATAAATCCAATCAGTGTTTTGTAACTCTGATTCATTCACCTGCAAAAGCAGTTACCAAACAAAAAAAACCCTACTTAACTGATCATGAGCAAAGCAATACTAATGCCAACACAAGTGAAGTGGAACTAATTAATCTATTTACCACGTAAACCCGTTTTCTGTCATTGAAAGCATCCTCTGGTGGCCACTCAGGCAAGCTACCTTTGTAGAAAGGTAGCACAACTGTGTAATCCCGAGGAGGTATGGAGGGCTCCTTGGTGATCACTAGGCAACATTAAATAGCCAACAAATGAGATTTCCTGAACTTGTGATGTAAAAATGAAAAATTCACCACAAGTAAACTTTTACCTAGGGGTTTAGGTCTAGCAATAGGGCATATCAAATCCAAACTGTTAAAACAATCGTCATCAACTTTAACCTGAAAGGTTTCCTGCAAACGGCTGGTTGGATCGAATGCAAGCAAAGTTATGTAGTATGAGGAAAGAAAACGCATTTGCTTGTTAAATCTCTTTAGGTGATCGAGCTTCAAGTTTGTCCCCTGGCAGAACAAGAAAGAAAGAATCTGACATGTACATAATGCCGATAATTGAAGCACCAAGAGAGAAGACTAGTTTTTACATTCAACATATTGTAAAGATGAAGCCCCGCCCTCGCATAAAGCTTGACCATGGCAAGATAAGTATGCTTACGACACTCGTCGCCTTCACAGTGGTGGGCTACCAGTGCAGAGCTATTGATAATACCATCAAAATCGAAACACTAACAGAAAAAGTAATCAATTAGTAATATGTAAACAAACCATTTCTAATTTAACAAAAGGAATCTACTAGTCATCTCCAACAAATCAAAACTACGGATAAATTCCAAAACATGGATCAACCTCTAAACAGTCAGAAGATGAAAGAAAAGAATTACATCTGATGCCTCCACTCGAGGCTTGTCGTAGTCCTCCATATCACCACCCATTGGAAACGTCATATTCTCCTCCTCGTCAAGGTTGTTCGAAATTTCGGTAAAATCGATCAGCTCGGGATGCATTCCGATCGATTTAGGTTTATCTAGGCGATACGTGTTATTTAGACCATGTCCAATGGAGGCTTTTAAAGGGTTTTCAAAAAGAGTTCTTAAGGTAAGAAAGATTAAGGTGTTGTCGGTTTGTGATTTAAATATTGTTTTAATGATTTTAAATGTTATGTAGAATCTGTTGTTATTAAATCAAAATTTGACAAATCTGGAGTTATTAAATTCAGAATCTTATAAAGTCAATAAAAGTTTTGTGTTATTCAACTAAAACAAAAAAATCTCTGATTGTTAATGAATTAAATTATTCTGTTATTGGTTTATGATTTTTTTTTGTAGTTTATGATTTTATACATTATTATTCATAAAATAAAATCATAAAAAATATCTTTAAAAAATAGAGATTGTTTGGGAAATTTTACCAGATTATGGAACAATTAATCAACAAGATTATAGAAAACTTTTATTTATTTACTTTTTATGATTTTATTAAAGTCATCGAAACACTATTTAAATCAAAAACCAATAACATCCCTTAAAAATAAATCAAAATAATTAATTATTGTTTGAATGTTCCTTAAATCAGAGCCTTTAGAAATTATAAGAACAATGACGTGTCATCGTGCGGTTGACTAGGAATTTTTGACAAACCAAAAAAAAAGGGGAAAATGTCAAAAACAACGTGAACTTTCAAATTTAGGATGAAAAAAACATGAATTTTCGAAATATCATTTAAATCCTAAAGTTTAGTTTGACTTTTTGATAAATGGTCAAGTTCCAATTCGACTACCTGCAATTCGCTTCAGGTTCAATTTACGGCTGAATCTCTAGCACATGAGGTTCAGAATTCCATTCCTTCTAGCCTAACAAGAGAGAGCCCTTATCTTACCCACCCAATCTTCAACATGCATTATTCTCTTCTTTGAATCTTGAGTGGCTTATTACTTGTGGATTAGCAGTATCTCATTTTTAGTTTCCAATTTAACAATGTGATTAGGTACCACACAGAGCATGAGTTGCTTAGGTACATATTGATAACAAAAAAAAAATGAATTAACTTGAGACACGTTTGATACTCATCATACGACTTCGTTGTGTTGTTTGTATAGCAAATAAGAGATTGGCCTCTGCAACTTCATTTGTTCACAGAAGTTAAGCAATGAACTCCTCTGCTCTCACATCAACGCCTTTTTCTTTTTCCTCCTCCTCTTGATCATATGCATTTAGATACAAAAAGTAGAGAAGTTTAAGAATCTTCTTTGAAATATAAATAAAATATATTTAAAACAAAATAATTTTCAAAATATTAATTATTTATTCTTAAAAAGCTATTGGATTCTACCATTGGATGAAGAAAAATTAAAATCTCCTAATAAAGTTCTTAATGCAAAATTTGTAATAAAAACATTGTTAAAAACCCCACAACAAGATTCATCTGTGGGGAAATTTATCAACATACGACGTCGTTTTGAATCTTTATAGTATTTCGTTCACAATTATTTTCAAATAAATATTATTAGAATTTTTTAGAGATTGAGAGGAGAAGAAGACGGCGACAATGGCGAATTTGATGATGAGATTACCAATTAGCTTGAGAAGCTTCTCTGTTTCAGCTTCTTCATCCAACGGTAACGCTCTTAAGCTCTAATTCTTACACAGTAATCTGAAATTTAAGCTTGAAGTTGAAGCTGCTGTGTCTCTGTGTTTGATTTTTAATTTCAGGTTCTCCGCCGGTGATCGGAGGATCTAGCGGCGGTGTAGGTCCGATAATAGTGGAATTACCGTTGGGTAAGATACGAAGACCGTTGATGCGAACTAGATCCAATGATCAGAACAAAGTGAAGGAGCTTATGGATAGTATCAGTCAAATCGGTCTTCAAGTTCCGGTTAAGCAATTTTCAAATTTCTTCGATTCATAATCATCAAATCCAGAATCACACATTTCAAAATCACATTTTGTGTTTTGTTTGTGGAACAGATTGATGTGATTGAAGTTGATGGAACTTACTATGGTACTTTTATTTGAAAAATTTGTTCTTAGTGGTTCTTGTTCTTGAAAACTTAAAGATGATAGATTCTTCCATTGTTGTAGGGTTCTCGGGTTGTCACCGGTACGAGGCGCATCAGAAGCTAGGGCTTCCAACTATACGTTGCAAAATCCGTAAAGGAACTAAGGAAACATTAAGGTATGTGTTTCTTTAAAGAATGACAATTTTTGGATTGGTGATTGAAGATTTGCTTATATTGAAAGGTTCTTTGGTTTCC